AGAGGGAGAGAATTTGAACTGTAGCCCTGACTAAATTTTTGTTGTTGTTGGAAGAGGATTTAGCCCTAAAGCCCTGTCTTTGGATACAATTGTAGTTGTATATCATGTCGAAATATTTAATAAACGTTTCACAAATCAATTAACGAAATGAATGAATATTTTCTTATTTAAATATAAAATAATAAAAGCTTCGAAGATATTTTAGTGAGATAAACCGAGAAAGATAGAGATAACGAGAGAGAGAGAGAGAGAGAGAGAGAGAGAGAGAGAGAGAGAGAGAGAGAGAAAGAAAGAGAGAGAGAGAGAGAAAGAGGGAGAGAACAGGGAACAAAAAGAGAAACTCACAATATTAAGAGAATAGTTAATAAATTTGTGTGACCATTTTCAAGACGATTCAAAGATCGGGGCAAACTTTTCACAAACTTGTGAATGGGAAATGTCAATTTTTTCAAATGCGTTGATAAATGTGTGGAAAAACATGGAAATATACCCAAATTTATTGAAAGAGTTTAGATTTTTTAGGAAAATAATAAATGAAACAAGATGAAAAAAACCAGCATTAAGCAATTTGTGAAAAAAAAACTTTAAAAATATTTTTATGCTATCTTCATAAAATATGTGAATAAATTTAAAAATGACGTCACGAAATTAGGGAAAAATTATTTTAAAAAAATAAATTATTTTTAGGAGACGAGAATTTTTCAAATTTTAATACATTTCCAATGTGACGACGTGATTATTAGGAAGGGATGAAGATTACTGAGTAAAACAAGATATCTTAGTATTTGCACAATTTACACACACACACACACACACATACACACACACACATATACACACACACCTACGCACACACCTACACACACCTACACACACACGAACGCACATGACCACACACACAACACACACACAAACACACTTATGCACATATACACGCTCGCACACAGACAAACACAAACATACACACACACACACATATATGTATAATTCATTACAAAATCATTTAATTCTACATATATAACTTTTGTCTGTTTAATTCGGAAGAAGATCCTCTGATGAAGTATTTTATAATGGAATTAAAGTAATTCAAAATTTAACAAATGTGATTTATCCGTCAGGGACGTTAAAATTTCAGTTCGTGTGCGTGTGTGTGTGGCTGGTATCTCTTGGATGCGTGTGTTTATGCGTGTATGTGTATATGCGTATATATTGTACTGTATATGTGTGTACGTATGACTTGTTAGTAGGTGGATGAGTGTGTTTGATCGAAAGTGTTTGTTAATTTGTCTTTATGTCTGTGTGCGCGTGTGCGTGCGTGTATATGTGTGTGCGTGTGTGTGTGATATGTTATGTTTTATATGTTTGCTAAGCTAATGTTAGCCACTGCTATTTAATGTTCTTCAAGAGATAAAATTATTGTTTCTCAACCAAAAATTAGCCAGTGAGAAACATCAAAAAAATGTTACTCAGAAGAAATGATTATAAAATGAAATGATTACGATGGAGATGAAGTAAATGATGATAAGGGTGACGATGATAACGACATAATGATAACGAGAGAGAGAGAGAGAGAGAGAGAGAGAGAGAGAGAGAGAGATGACGACGACGACGACGAGGATGATAAAGATGACGAAGATGTGGAAAGTGAATTGTAGTATCAGCAGCATTAAATGCGAAGAAAGGTAAATATTGTAATGCTAGGTTGGCGGCAACGCTCATTGAATTATAACATCATAAAGGAACGATGTTTCTGTCAGCTGGATATCTCATTTTATATCCTTTCACTGTAGATTTTTTTTTAACTCTGCTACGTTTATTTTTCATTTACATGTTTGGTTATTTTATCCGTTTGTCTGTCTGTCTGTCTGTTTGTTTGTCTGTCTGTCTGTTTGTCTGTTGGTTTGTTTGTTTGTTGGTTGGTTATTTATTTATTTAGTTCGTTAGTTTGTTTGTTTATGTGTTTTGTTGATTGTTTAAGTTTGTTTCTAATTGTTCATGTTTGTTCGAGTTTAATTTTTGTTTATTCGTATATTAATTTATTTGTTTAAAACACATGCTAATTATATAATTTTAAATAATTAAGTGATTGTTACATGAATGAATGAACGAATAAATGAATGAATGAATGAACGAGCGAAAGAACGAACGAACGAATGAACAAACGAATGAATGAACGAACGAAAGAACGAACGAATGAAGAGAACAGACCTTCCACCTTTACAATTACAACCACAATTACAATTAGCATAGAAATTTGCTCTGGGAACAATTAAAAGGTGTGGTGCCTGTAAGTAGGTTGGTAGGTAGGCAAGTTGTTGTTGTTTTGCTGGCTGGCTGGCTGGCTGGTTGATTAGTTGATTGGTTGATTGATTGGTTGGTTAGTTGATTGGTTGGTTGATTGATTGATTGGTTGGCTAGTTGATTGGTTGATTGATTAGTTGGTTGGTTGATTGGTTAGTTAGCTGATTGTTTGATAAGTGAATAAGAAATAACCCATCTGGTTAACTAACACAATCTCTAATTAACATGCAAATAAGTACATGAGCTAGGACGAACGTTTCATTATATCGTCTCGAAATTTATATCGAGACAACTGTAGAGCAAACATTATATGCAGTTCAATTGTTTTCATTTTAAAGGCATTATATGATGAACTACTGCTGCTATTGCTGCTTGCTACTGCTTCAACTACTGTTATTACTACTACACTAATACTGCTAATACTATACAACTATTTCTACTACTACTACTACTACTATTACTACTACTACTACTACTACTACTACTACTACTACTACTACTACTACTACTACTACTACTAAAACAACAACAACTGTTACTACTACTACCATTAATAATAATAATAATAAATATAGTAATAATAATAACGACAAAAATAATAATAATAAAATGAAGTAAGGCCAAGGTGTAAATGTTCGGCCATAAAATTGAAATGAAACGCTTTTAAACAGGACTGACTGAACCGAAGTTGATGTTGATATGAAGTGAATGACGCTGCTGTCGTCGTTGTTGTTGTTATAGTAGTAGTAGTAGTAGTAGTAGTAGTAGTAGTAGTAAGAGTAGTAGTAGTGGTATTAGTAGTAATAGTAGTAATAGTAGTAGTAGTAGTAGTAGTAGTAGTAGTAGTTGTTGTTGTTGTTGTAGAAGTAGTAGTAGTAGAAGTAGTAGTAGTAGTAGTAGTAGTAGTAATAGTAGTAGTAGTAGTAGTAGTAGTAGCAGTAATAGTAGTAGTAGTGGTAGTAGTAGTAGGGGTAGTAGTAGTAGCAACAGTAGCAGTAAATTTTGTTTAGATCACTATCTTGGATCTGTATTTTTTAAGTGTAATGATGAAGATGGGGATGATGCTGTAAGCGTGTTTTTGATGACGACGACGATGATGACGACGACGATGACGGTGATGATAGTTGTCATGAAAATGAATGTATGAAAAAAATGATTTTAAATAAATGAGTTTATAAATTAGAAACAAATTTTACGATGCACCAAATGAACTAACGAAAGAACAAACGAAAAATTGACGAACGCAAAATATTTTTAAAAATAATAGTACGAACGAGTGAACAAGTGAATGAACAAACACTTAGATGAAAACATAAATGAACAAACAAGTGGACTAGCAAACGAATGAACTAACAAACAACTGAGACCAGTTAGAACGTTCGGCATGCTCAAACAGACATCAGGTGCAGAAAAAACAAAAATAACAACATCGACAACAACTTAAACGAAAACGAATCAAATACAAACAACATCATCAACAAAAACACAAACAACAACAACAACATAAACAACATAAACATAAACAACAACGACAATATAAACGACAACAACATCGTCAACAACAACGACTATGTTGACGCCATCATTGACTTCGTAACCATTTCGTCAGTGAATCGTATCAAGTGCATTGAAGTTTCGCTTATGTTTCCATTCTGGCGGGCCCATGCCGGTCATAAATTTCAATTTGCCGCTACCGAAGGCTCATGTCGAGATTGTTGAGCTATTCAATTGAATAGGTGTTAAAGATTGGCCGAATGCGTGCGTGCGCGGTTTGTTCGGTGTCGCGGTGTGTCGCCTCGTGTGGTGTTGTGTGGTGTCGCGTATTGTAGCTTCGTCATATGTCCCTTGTTGTGTCATGTGCTGCGCGTTGCCGTGTCGTTAGGTGTAGTTATTATTATTATTGTTGTTGTTATTGTTGTTGTTGTTATTGTTGTTATAAAATCAAGTTGCCGTGTTTCTTGGTTACTCTGCGATAACGTTATTAAATGCAAAACTTGCGAAGAAAATTAAGGTAAATAAATAACATGTCGCTATATACACTGTATGCTTAAGCATATATTCGTTATATAATATATATGTATGTGTATATATTTATGTTCATATAAATATATGTATACCCCATGTGCATATGTGTTTGCATGCGTCTTTATAGTTTTCATTGTTTGCTCATCGTGATATGATCTTTGGAAATGAGATTTTTCGAAACACTCTCTCCCCTCCTCCTTTCATTCATTTATTCGTCATTATTTTATTGTATTTTTTCGTTCCTTTTTTCATTCGTTCATTCATTCATTCGTTCATTCATTCATTCATTCATTCATTCATTCATTCATTCATTCATTCATTCATTCATTCATTCATTCATTCATTCATTCATTCATTCATTCATTCATTCATTCATTCATTCATTCATTCATTCATTCATTCATTCATTCATTCATTCATTCATTCATTCATTCATTCATTCATTCATTCATTCATTCATTCATTCATTCATTCATTCATTCATTCATTCATTCATTCATTCATTCATTCATTCATGCATTCATTCATTCATTCATTCATTCATTCATTCATTCATTCATTCATGCATTCATTCATTCATTCATTCATTCATTCATTCATTTTTCATGATACCGTAGTTTTTGTTCGTTTAATTATATATATGTTTGTTTCATTTAAACGAGTTTCACCAGCAAATGATTTCCTCATCAACAACAGCTCTGGGAAACGTACCGACAGTAACAAACGAACGAATATCGATGATATCAAAAGAACCGACGAATATTCAACTGAATGCCGGAGAGCCGATTCAACTCGAATGTAAATTCGTGGCAGAACACTTTACCGACTTCAATTTGTTCGACTATCCGATTAGCTGGCACAAGGGTCAGTTAGACGACTCCATGCAGATCAATATGGTCAGTAACATCCTCGAACCATTTGCTGCTACCGAACGGTTTGCTGTGCAATACGCCGTCTTCAATCTTTCCAATGTTTCATTTCCGGTTCATAAACTAGCCCTCCTTGTTTCCAGTTAGTCGCAAAATTTTAATTTGATGTCATCGGTTGCTGTTATTTTAGTTCGCACCATTCATTAAAATAAATGTTAGTGGACGAGTTAACTCTGTCGGTAAAAGTGCCATGACTGATTGATTGACTGATTGACTGACTAATTGATTGACTGACTGATTGACTGGTTGATTGACCAACTGCTTGACTGATTGATTGACTGACTGATCGATTGAATGAATGAATGAATGATTGATTGATTGTTGTAGGCACATCTCTCGAAGATACAGGGAATTATTCGTGTCATATACAGGGCCCTCAAAATATTCTACTGGCTTCCATAACACATCAAGTTCAGTTCAGAGGTTTTTGTTTTTTATTATTCATTTTTTTGTTTTTTGTTTTTCCGCCTATCTGATTTCTGTTTTATATATCTTTATAAAAAAAACGTAATGTGATGTTATAATATTAAATAAGATGAACATTGGGTAATGAAATGGAGACAATACGTAGTAAATAGGCAATACGTAGTAAATAGACAATACGTAGTAAATAGGCAATACGTAGTAAATAGACGATACGCAGTAAATAGACAATATGTAGTAAATAGACAATACGTAGTAAATAGACAATAGGTACATTTTAAATAGTTTTTCAAATTAATAAAACGAGAATTTCGATGTCGAATGATTGAATAGATTTAAAATTTTTTTTGAAGACCAGATCAAAAAAGTGGAAATAAATTCTCTTTCTAACAAACCATCTACATCATCATCATTATCATCATCATTCCCGATGTCTCAACCATCATCATCATCTTCTTCATCCTCATCATCTTCTTCATCATCGTCCCCAGCATCCATATCGTTCGCCGAAGTCTACAGGACAAAACATTTTGAAACTCTTCAACAAAATGTTGTTGATGATAGTGAAAACGATGATGATATCGCTAACGATTACACCTATTCAGACCACCATTTCAGCAACAACATCAACAACATCAACAACAACATCAACAACAACAACAACTTTAACAACGACATTGGTGTGCACCTTAAACATAGAAAACGACGACGATCAACCGACTTACATTTCAACAAACAATCCAATCGCAGACCTCAAAAGCATCAACTTTCCTTCACAGAACATGACTCGTCACCGCAGACAACATCAACATCCTCACATCAACAACAACATCAACAACAACAACATCAACAACAAGTAATTTGCACTGTTCACGGAGGCTATCCAAGGCCAAACGTTACAATGAAATTAGGCAACGTGGATGTGACAAACTTGTTTGCAGTCAAATTGGTCCATCTGCACACGTTGGGCAGCAAAGGTTTTCAAAAATTTTCTTACCGACTTACATTTTCGTCAAAGAAGTCCTTGACCTTCAAGTCGCAAGACCATGGAAAGAATTTAACATGTTCTGGCACGGTGGCTGGCCTCCAGTCTGTCAGCGCCGTCAGCTGGATTAATGTTTATTGTAAGTTCTTTTTCAGCCCTGTCTTTTAAAAGATTTTTATTACACAAATTGAATGTTTAAAACTTTGATAAAAACGACGTCACGTGTCAGCAATCGCAAGTAATAATAAAAAAGACAATGGTAACATTAAGAACAGGTCAACAACTTGAAAACAAAAAATTGAAAAAAATAACAACTAACAAAGATAAACAAATTGAAAACAACCAACAAATAACAAAACAACCAACAACAAACAACAAACAAACAACAAACAAAACAACAACAAACAACCACAGACGCTCCAAAGATAAGATGTCGCAATGCAGTCGCATCCTTGAACGACCTCGCGGTAACCTTGACCTGTGAGGTGAAGGCCAACCCGGAAGCCACCATGCTCTTCTGGATTGTTGATACGAACAGCACGAAAGTTACAGATGGACGCGAAAATAATGAGTTTTGGAATAAAATTAGAGTTAACTTTTGTTATTCGTTGTTGTTTGTCTCAATTGAAACACTTAATCTGCAGATATTTCCGTGCATGATGTTTGCTAAAAAGTTAACGCATTTTTTATACGTATATTATTTATGTGAAATTTTTTAGTAAAATTTTTGATTTAATCATCGCGTTCGTTGATTTCACATCATCTTGTGCTAGGTCTTGGACAATGGTGCATTAGAAGCCAGTTTGAACATCAGACGAGTTGCACAACGTCATTTCCGCAATTATGTCATCGTAGCCGAAAATGACATCAGCTCGCAATCCGGACACGTCAAACTTCTTCAAAGCAAGCTCAACATTCGCTATTTCATTTCATTTTTGCAATTGCCACATAATTTGGCTAAGAAAATTGTCAAAATGCTTTGTTTGCTTTAAAAAAACGAGAAGTTTATACAAAAAAAAAATTAAAAAACAAATTTTATTAATTTTCTTACAGAATTTCACGGACAAAACGAAAAAATGAGAGCTCTGAACCTATACAGCGACTACATGAACCACAACAGCAGCCACAGCAGCAGCCACAACAGCTACAAAGACAACCGACCAGCGGAGAATTACTTCAGTTATTATTCGAAGCATTCAAGTGCAATGGATCACCGACTGAAACAAATGCTCCATTTGATCTCGCTTCTCACATACATAATGATGAATATGACAAACAAATTGCTATTTTGATTTGTGTTTTTTTAAATTATTTTCAATTTATATCTCTTCGCTTCTTCTTGTTCTACTTGTAATTTTTTAAAATTTGTAAATTCTATAAATACATCGCAGGGATCTGTTAAAAAAAGTTAACAAGAGTGCCGTCGTCTTCATGTTTCGTGAGCATCGTTAATTCAGCGAAATAATGATCCATTGTGTCGTGTGTCGGTTGTGAACAATCTGATTGGAATAGATTATGAATGAGGTACTATTTTAATTATCGTCATCATCGTTATACGATCTAGCTGCCAATGGACGAACATTGGAATGAATTTAAAAAAAAAATTTATAATGGAGGACTTTATTTCAATTATTGATAAATCGATATCCTGATTGTTTAAAATGATCTAAAGACAACACGCCAACATATTTGGTGAAAGTTATTTTATTGTTTTTTTTTTTTCATTTTGTCTGTTTCGTTATGTGCTGTTTTATCATTTAATTTTTTTCCATAAATTCTTCAGACAGCTTAAATTAAAAAAATTAGCATTCATTTTTAAAGTCGTGTTTTTTACAAATAAAGCAACAATCTTTAAATGTGTGGATGGATGTATTTTAGCACCAGAGTGATTGAAACACAAGACTAAATAAATATTACATTCATACACACGTGTAGGTATTAGGCACATATGTCAGGATTGTGACAACTGCTGTAAAATACAAAACAGCACACTTCATCCAGCCATGCTATTGAACCCGGAGACAACTAGCTTTCATATCAGGAAATGATAACATCATAATGGTCATTAGTGTCTGGAAAATTGATGAAAAATTGTTACAATCGATCTGTTGGCATTTTAATTTTAAAACTACAGGATAAAATTAAAAAAGTTTTTAGCAACGTGTGATACACGAGAATGCCGTGGCCTTTCCAGGAGTGGTTTCCAGTGAGTTTGGATTTCTACGTAAAAATGTTCATATATTCAGTTGGTCGTACCACGTTTCTTTGTATAGGAATTTTTTTTGAATACTGTATATGAAACTACATCTGAGAAGAGTAATTGTAATTATAATGAAAAAAATTATACATATAATATAAGAAAGGTAGAAAAGAAGACAGAGTCATGAGCCGTCTGTGGGTGATGAAATACAAATGTGTGTGTTTGTGTATATGTGTGCGTGTGTGTGTTGGTGTGTTGTGTGTGTGTGTGCGTATGTGTGTGTGTGTGTGCGTATGTGTGTGTGGGTGTGGTGTGTAGTTGAAAACAAAATTTCTACTTTCAGCGTCATTTAGTAATTTAGTAAAAAAAGTGTAGAAGTAATTTTTATAGTTAACAATTAATATAACAATATAATACCTATAATATCATAAAATATTATTTTATAGAATGTTAAAAAATTGCGCTAAAAACATGAAAAAAGTTTTTTCTGTTATATTACTGTGGCGATAATAGGAGCACATTCTGAAATTTGAAATTTCGGGCTATTGTTTTGCCTAACGTAATATAAAATTTAACATCTAATGCTTAATTTTGACTTTTTAGAAATTAACGATGAATAAAAATATTTTCATCTCAATCAATAGTTTGCAAAACTTTCTAAATAGCACTGACCTAAAATCACTTTTAGATAACGAAAAGATTATAAATTTGTTGTGCACTGAAGATAGAAACTATCTGCAATCCTTACTACCTCTGCATGATCACCTCAGCAGTAGCAAGTAAGATTTTTTAAGGAAGATTTTATATTATTTTACCTGCTTTCCGCATTGCTGGCCTAACTAGTTGCCAACAATAACAACAAACTCTTCTAGCCTAGTGCTCTCTATCTAACTAAAGCCAACTACTAAAACTAAACTAAACTCCCAGCTAAACAAAATGAACAAACAGTAAAACACATAGGCTTTAAAATTTAAAGAGACTTAGATGAAACAAACAGAATTCAAATTAATATTTTAATCAATATGAGCAGCATAAAGATTGAAATTTAATTACTAATCAAATTACTAATTAATTAATAAACTACTAGCAATAGATGAGTAATTGTAAGTGTTACATGGTTACTATTAATCAAAATTTAAGTATTTTCATATAGTTACTAACTTTACTTTACTAAATCAACACATTTATGACATCTTTGTTTATTTTTTTTCTTGTAGAAATTCAAAATCAGACAGCCTAAATAATGTCTTTATGAATGCAGCCTGTCAGAGATGGATGAAAAAGTTGAAGGAAGGTTTGAAAGGAAAATGAAATTTTATTTATTAAAAAATTGAAATTAGTCAAAAATAAAAAGGTTAAAAAATTAAATTAGCTTGTTTGCACGCTTCACTGGAAACCGTCATTCAATTCTTAATTAATTAATTAATTAATTACTAATTGCAATTATTAAAATGAAGTTAAAAATCAGTGTAATAATTTTCAAAAACTTATTTTAATTTTTAAATAAAATAACATTAAAAATATTCATCAACTTTTTCTATTCATGTCTGTAGGTGAGATGAATGCCTTCTTAAAAAAACTGCATGCAAAAATTCTTCAGGTTGCTTTTTGTTTCATTTTTCATTATAATCTAACATAAATCATTATTGAAAAACTATTTTTGTAATTTTTAATATAAACTAAAAAGAAATACATCTCTCTTTATTAATAGTTAGAAAATGTTTTTTTCAGCATAAAAAATGCCCGTCCTCAAGAAAAACGTAATTATTTTTTCAAATTAGTCCATTGAATTACTTTTTACCTTATTGATTTTTTAAAATTTGTGAAAATAATTTTTAGATTCTTACATTTATTGAAATAATATGTAGATAAAATGCAGCTAATAATAGTTATTATTTTTAAATTTATAAATTACACAAAACAATAATAACACTTTTTGTTAATTTAGTTTGTTGACGAAATATGACATCAACAACAACAACATAGTACTAAAGAAAGAGCACACTTCCATCAAACCTTTCATGGAGCCAAAGGTCAACAAACCAAATGGGGTGCACAATGTCTATCAGAAACATTACCTAACCTCAAGACATCACAAACCACCTAGCAGATACAACAACTGCCATGTGGTTAACAACAAAAACGTTTCTTCTATAGGCAACGTTACCAGCGTGAAAAATAATTTTATGATGTCACCGTCAGCTGGTGCCACTGCTTGTGCTGCTGCATTTACATCTCTAAGGACAACAGTTGCATCAATTACAGCTGCTATGACGTCAGTGAGTACAGCAGCTACAATGACGTCAACATCAGCTGATATAATAGCCTTGACAATAACAGAAGCATCATCTGCAACGATGAATCCACCAATGAAAACAACAACTCCATCAACAGACTCAACAACTACAATTATCTTGTCACCAACATCAATCACCGCTATGATTTCACCTACAAAATCGACAACCATAATGACAGCATCAACATCAACAACAACAACAACAACAATGGTGATGTCACCATCAAAAAGAAAAACAATAATGACATCATCAGCGACACACACAATGACATCATCAGCGACAGCAACGTCAACAAATACAACATTGTCGCAGCCATCAAATTCATCGGTGCAGTTTATTAAACTCGATCATTCCTACTGCGGCTCCAGTGTTTCGAGCTGCAAGAAAGGAAGACTTTGTAACGGAAGTATTTTATTCAATCATAAAAAACTTAATGGTGTTTCTGATTATCTTAACAATAAGTATGTCAACAATTATAATTACTCAAGTATTAATAATAACAATAATAATAATAATAATAATAATAATAATAATAATAAATGTAATGGTGTTGATGTCAATGAGGATGGTAGTAGTACGATGAATGAATGCTGTCAATCAGATGAACATCTGTGTGCGAAACATAAAAGACCATCTATGCAACTACGACAACATCTTTTACATGCACCAATGCCAATGCAACAAGCGTTTCAACTACAGCCACAGCAATTACTGCTACAATCTCAACAGCAGCATCAGCACCAACAAGCTATTCCATTACAACAACAACAACAACTACTACAGCTTCCTCAGTTACAGCAGCGGGAACAACAACAACAATCAATACTTCTTCAGCAACAGTCACATCCAAGTCCACAACTACCACAACTACATAATATAAATCATCCAAAACAACAACATCTACAACTTAGCCAGCAACAGCCACATCCTTATTTACAGCAGCAGGCACAACAGCCTTCTAATGGCCAACATCAGCAACATTCGCATATGCAACAACAACAACAATCACATGAACAACAGTCATTACAGCAATCGTCATCACAGCAACACCTAGATCATTCGCAATCAACTAAACAACTACATCCTTTACTACAAAGTTTCAAAGCACAACAACAAAACAATGAAGATGACGACGACGATGATGATTTAAAATCACCATCAAACCGTCAAAACTACACAAGGTTGAGATCATTAAACGTGCAAAAATCAACGCAAGAATCTGTCGATCATCAGCTGTTGTTGAAACAACAGCAGCTGCAACATCGGCAGAATCATCATTTTAAAAAATTAATTCTTTCAAACAATGAATATGACAATGTAAATAATAACGTAAGTAATAATAATTATGTTAGCAATGAGAATAATAGTGAGAATGAAGAAAGTGGTGTTGAAAATACTCCAAGAGATGCAGTCGACTTAGAAAAAGTTGATCTACCAGAACAGTGCACAAAAAAAAGTTTAATAAAATTTATAAACATCATAATTTATAAAGACCCTTCTATTTTAAAGCCTTTACAAAACGGTCATCACATTAATATTCATCATCATCAACAAAATGATGGTGATGATGATGATGATGATAATCACGATCCTCATCATCATCAAAATGATGGCGATGATGATGATGATGATAATCACGATCATCGTCATCATCACCTTGATTATTGTGATCATTATAAGAGACAGCTTCAACTGCTACCTTTGGTTCAGCGCATTGTGAATTGCAACACGCCCAGACCTTTGTTACTGCCGATGACATTATCACCTTCATCGTTCTCTGACATTCACTCAGCATCAGCATCATCGGCAGAGTCTTCACTATCGCCATCTTCATCTCTGTCATCATCTTCATCATCATCTTCGTCATCGTCATCATCTTCATTGTCTTCATTGATAGCTTCAAGTTTATCATCATCTTCATCATCATCATCATTAACAACATTATCATTACCACCACCACCACCACCATCATCATTGTTTTGGCCGACATCAGTATTATCATAACTCTCATGTTAATGATGATAATAATGATAGCAATGATAATATTGTTGTTGTTGTTGTTGTTGTTGTTATTTTTATTAATTATTTTGAAATCCAACTGGCTTGTTATTTTTGTATATTATTGCACGTATGTTTGTATAGACTGTTTTATTGCATGTGTATGTGCCTGTGTGTGTGTGTGTGTGTGTGTGTGTGTGTGTGTGTGTGTGTGTGTGTGTGTGTGTGTGTGTGTGTGTGTGTGTGTGTGTGTGTGTGGTATTTTATTTAGTTAAGGATTGTGTTAATAAGCTTATCTAAGTTTTCACATTTGATTATTGTTGCGATCGTTAGGAATTGAATCCGGATCATTAGACGTTGTCAACAGATATCTATAACTACTCTACCAAGTTTTAATAATCACTGCCCATTTTTTCACGTGTATGTGCATGCGAATATATATGTGTTTGTTTGTGTGTGTGCGTGTACTAGTGTGAATGTATGTGTTTGTTTGTGTGCGTGTGCGTGTGTTTGTTTTGTGCGTCTGTGTGTTCCTGTTCAGTTCATTTCTTCCATTAATATTAGCTCAATGATTTTGGAATTAGTTATATCTCGTTAAATTAAAGGTTTTGAGAATTGTTATAAAAAAAACTTGCTTTGTTGATTTACTGATTCAAACCTATCTATATGCATGTGTATGTGTATTGGATGGATTTGTATTTTACTCTAGTTTTGTTAAATTCCAAGAAAATTGTTAATGGATAGTACTTAAATCTTATCTAGATTCATCATTGTTGTTGTTGTTTTTACGTTTTTAATACATGTCACTGAAAATTTTACTTTACTATTTAGCACTTTGTCTCATTATTAATTATAGCCGAAAGGTTTTATTTGAATAAATTTGCAACCACATCTGTCAACTCAAATTCTTATTTAATATTATATTACTACTAGTAGCAGTAAATTACTAGGTGGACATTATTAAATTAATGACGTTATTAATCCATCAGAAGATGATGAACAAGATGATTCAGATTTGTGTAACATACTGCATGCGTGTTAATGTACATAACTAACTCTCTCAGAACTTTTTAATACGTGCTCGAATGAGCTTCTTAATTTTTTTGCATGATTTTGTACATACTTTTTTTAGTTTACACACACACACACACACACACACACACACACACACACACACATATATATATATATATATATATGTATATATGTATATATATATATTGGAAGGAGACCATATTATATACAGTATTGTATGAATTCTATCGAATTGTTGGCATTAATCAACAATTTTATTTTTTCATGATTCTATTTTCAATAAATTGAACAATTTCTAGAAAATTCTAGGATGTAAAATTAAAAAGACAAACTTTAAACTGAGTAATGCCAACAATTCGGTAGAATTCATACAATACCGTATATACATATATAATTATATATATGATCTTATTTTTCAATTTTTTGGCGACTGTCTATGATGTAGAAGTCCACATTGTTTCGTTCATCATTTTCACAATTTTTTTTTACACTTTCGAGTTCTACTCTGTTTTAATAAAATCGATAAAACTGATTTTAAGTATATTTTTTAATTTATAAATATATGCTGAACCCATCGATCAAACAGTTCGGACAGGATGTGTTCATGTTTCGACCAATCGTTTTTTTGAAAAAAAAAACGCTTTCATTATGAAAAATTATTAAAACAACTAATACGAGTCATGAATCTGTATAGAAAAGTAAAAAGTCAACAGGGCGCCAATAATAAAGTGGACGGTCAGTCCCTGAATCTGGCACGCCCTCAAGGGAGTCACGCAGGGCAGGGGCACAAAAACAGGAAGGTCACATGATCTGTTGCCATGTCGGGGTGGAAGGAATGATGGCCGCTGAATGAAGTATTCGGATTTGTAATGGCTCACCCATTTCTTGGCGCATTTCTTGTCTAGTTTCAATTAACAATAATCATCATTATTATTCAAATTTATTTCAGTTTCCGTTAATATCAGTGTGGATTGGATTAGAGATCACGTTTGGTATCATACATCACTCAAATTTGAAATAATTCGCTCCCGTGCCAGCATTGAAAGTAGTGTTTGTGGTTGTAGAAGCGGTGGCTGTGGCAGTGTAGTAGCATTATTTGCGGTAGTAGTATTAGTAGTAAAAACAAACTTTCTGAGGTTGTTGCGGTTTTGAAGACGAGTAGGAATACGTTTGTGTTTGAAACCGGTACCAAGTGAACGGTCCTCATCTGACAACTTGTGTTGTAGGTTTTCGCGTGTTTGGCTTTTACGATTACGTATTCATCGGCATGACGTACGCACGGTTCTTGTCTTTGTTTGTCGTGTTGTCTCTTGTTTTTATGTTTCATCTGTTTAATAAAAATTGTTTGCTTATTGTATCCAACCATTGTTATCATCATTGGCAGCAGCAGCATCACTCATCATCATCTTCTTCAACAACGTCACCTCAAATTCCGTGTATAGGATATCCCGATAAAACCTGAATGTTTGACGGTCACGATGGGAACAATGGCGATAATATTTGAAGAGTTTTCTCTGTTTCACTACATCATCGCTGACCAGAAATTGAAGTTCTTCAGGGAAAAGCTCGATGATGCTTGGCTGGCTCGCTTGTGGGTCCGTTCTCAACTCAAACACCACTTGCAAGTTGTTGCGAATTATGTAACAGCTGTTTGTTGTTGTTGCAAATGTTGGTGTTAACGCCGATGTTAATTTAACAATTGAGGTTGATTGAGATATAAAGGAATATATCATATAATATAGGGTATATCATTTTAACGACGTTGTTTTAATTATAACTTTCCCTTAGCGAGGACCGAATTTAGAAATGTGAGAACCCAGGGTAAACGAAGGTTTTAAAGATCCCTAATTATTTTCAAAGCAATTTTCGGGGCAGTAAAAACTGCTCATCCCAGAATCTGGCTCAGCTCGCAACACAGCAACCAACTGCCTACATTAAAAAACATTGGTAGCCAACCCACTTCATGTCACTCGTTCCACAGCTTATTTCATATTTCCTGTTGATGAGTGTGGCCAGTCTGGAAACAAAGATATTCATGCGAATGCTGGTGCCGACAACTGCCCATATTTCGCTGGTCAGACATTTGCCAGTGGTGCTCGCTGCGGTGAAAAGTTTTCTTCTGAATTTTGATGGTGATCCTACCGCCAAAATCATCCAAATCATTATCATCTCAACAAAAATGCCATCATTTTAATGGCATCATTAATATTATCGAGATCGAAAACCTCCATTGAATGAACCTCCGCAGGGGTACAGGACAGCTCTGTTCAAAGAAATCAAATTTCTTCTATTCGACTGAAAGTTTCTCGTGTGCTTACCTGGTGTCACGGCCAGTGTGAATCTGTAGGCTAGCGCGTCCTTGAACCAATCTTCACTGTGTGTGTGCGTGCGGGTGTGTGCGTGTTTGTGTGTGTGTGTATGTGTGTGTGTGTAGGTGTGTGTGTGTGTGTGTGTAGGGGAGTACAAATGTCAATCATTTCAATCATTCTATTATTGTAATCACTCGTTACCGCTTTATTAGAGCTAATATCTTTTTCACATTTTCATCTCCACTAAAATAAAATAACATAATCAGCATCCTTCTTTTTCCTCACCCTCTCCCTCACTTTCTCTCCCTCTATCCCTCTCTTACTGATGTGCATCCATGAGCAGATCGGCTTTGAGGTGCACAGCCGGAAATACTCTCATCACCCCATTGGCTGACAGCAAGTACCTGGAGTCGATGACGTCATCGTAACGCATCTTGATATTCGGAGATGGTAGGGTGAGGGTATCTTTCCAGTGTTCCTCCATTGTTTGGGATATTTCTATCTCTAAACTGATAGTAGTATTGTTGTGGTTGTTTTACGATTTGTTGATGTGTGCGACTATGCATGTGTATTTGTGTTGAGGATCTCGTTTCATGTTTTGTGTTTTCTTTTGTGTCTGCGTGCCTTCACTTCTTTATTGATGTCTATTTTCAGTACATATTTTAAAAAGAAAGCAAATATTTATTAAAATTTTTATAAATATTTTAATTCTTTTTAGGTCATAACAAAAATTTTTCATTAGAATATTTAAAACTTTATCAAACAGTTTCCATTCCGATTTTTCACTCTCTCTCTCTCTCTCTCCTAATTCTTTTTTTCTTCTTCTAGAAAACAAAAACCAAAACCTGGTATCTGGTTGAATGAGTGTGCACTCTTTAGAACTCTTGGGCTCATTGGGCCCATTCAAATAATCTTCCAGATCCAGAAACTTTGTTGGGTCGAACTGATCAGCGAACATCTCCATATCGCAGAATGCCAGCATACTAAGCCCCAATGAAGACGCGTTCTTTTCGAGGTTGAAGTGTTGATCTGTTGTTTGTGTTGAATCGTTAATGCGTGGTTTTCTTGATCATCGATCATCCATTTCATGGTTTTAGTCAGTTTCATAACTTTTTAAGTTAATTTCTGATGTTATTCATCGCTTCTGCTTTTCTAGCTTGAATGATATGTTTGTTGAAGTGTTTGTTTATTTTTCGTCGCTTACTAATCAGATAAAATGAATAACTTAGCATTGGTGTTGACGTAGTTGCTTATACAATCGCTCGTGTTATGTTTCATTGCAACTTTATTTGTATCATATTGTTAGTTTTTATGCAGTTTTTTCCAATTTAAATTTCACTTTAACACACTAAATTATTTTTTCCAAAGACATCTAAAAAACTTACCAAATGACGATCCACCATGGCTAGCGTTCGTTTTGATGCCGCGACGACTAGGCAGTCTAGAGAGCAAATAATGTCTAGAGACCGTTGATGGTGATGACGACGACGACGACGATGATGAAGACGATGGCGATAAAGTTGATGGTGATGATGACAGCTTTTTGATTTTAAATCTCACCAACTTTTTTACCACTATGCATAGTGATGAATTCAAATCTAGAGGCAAAGGAAGAACAATTAAAAATTCCAACAAAACAATACAAAAACATTCGGATAATCATTCTCGTCTTTGGTGCTCAATAAGTATAATAATTAAAATTATTATAATTAATGAATAATTATTAATCACAGTTATTCACATCATCAAAAAACTCACAAACTTATATGAACATCGTCATCATCATCACCATTCAGTCATTCAATCATTACTTTCTCACTTTTTATCGGAGCAAAATAATAGAATAAGGACTCGTTACCGTCCCCAACATTCATATTATTTTTATCCTGGTACGTCAGAGTTGGACTACTCGAACCGGCCGGATCGTACGAATATTCGGGTGTAACTATCGTATTCGACATCGTAATCAGCGGTATTTTAGGGATGGACGTTACGACTAAGGTAGTCGGTGAAGTCATGTCGGTTATTGTTTTTACGATTTGTTGGTATTCTTTCAACGAGTTCGTCGGGTTGACAACCATGTTTAGAGAAAGATCGTGTCGAAATTGCTGGTGTGTTTGTTTTTATGCATATTTTAGTTTATTTGTGCGTTTGTTTGTATGGGTTTTTTGTGTGTTTCTATGTACATGTTTGCCAGTGTGCGTGATTTAATTATATTTGTGTAAATGTTTGTGCTTATGTTCTTGTATGTTTTTCATTTGTTTCGTCTGTGTAACTTTGCTTGGGATTGTAACAGAAAAATGAATACAAAATATTATTATTTTCAAGAACGCAGGTAAGCATTTATAGAAAACACGCTGAAAACGCACACACGCACATACCACGCACACACGCACACCACAAACATACGCACACACACACACCACAAACACACGCGCACACGCACACACTTCATTGATGGGTATCATCTTATGATGCAAGGGTACCATAAGGTTCCATGCATGCACCAAAAAGACATCAGATCCCTTCCACAATTTCCTCATCAGCAGGTTGTGCAGATGTGTGTAACTCAGCTCGAAACCAACTACACCAACTATCTTTTCGCTGTTCTCTGTCAACACTTCTTCACTTTGTTTTGTCAGAATTATTAATTAATTAACTAGTTATTGAAATTATCGTTAATTTGTTTTTTTTTTTTGTTTTTTTTTTATTATTAATGCTACTTTTCTCACTCGGTTTCCTGCCTATTATCATCAGAAAGAATGAAAACAGGCAGAGAGATGTGGATGGATGACTTTGTGTCAGTTGACAGCAGTGTGGAGGTGTCAATATCAAAACTGGAGTTGGGACTGGAGTAGAGGACGGCTTCTATGTACAGTCTCAGCTGTTTCGTGTAGTTGTTCGTGCCGTTGATCCAGATGGAAAAGCCGCCGTTGTGGCAGGCCAGGTTGGATATCCGACTGTAAGACACGTACTGGCTGGAGGTGACGAAGGTGTAGATATCGATCTGGGTAGGGCGGGCGGGGTGGGGGTAGGGATGACCCGGAAATGATGATGGGATGAAGATGAAGAAGATGATGATGGTGGTAATGACGGAGGTGATGATGCTAGTGCTGGTAAAAAAACAATAGAATTAGTATAATAAAAATTATCTTGAATAGTATTTTTGAGTAAAAAAATTAAGTAAAATTCTAACAGCATCACTTCCACAATGATCATCATCGTCATTCTCATCATCATCACAATAATCATCATCGTCGTCATCATCGTCAAGCACATCCCCCCAATCATCATCATCATCATCGTAATCGTCATCACCATCCTCATCATCATCATGGCAAACCGTGTGACTAGCGTAGTATTGCATGATGGAGACTGCCATCTCGATCCTATCCATGTTGTACTTGCACGTATTTCCGGCTGCAAACTTCTTCTGATTGTCTTCCAGGAAGTGTATGGTACCTGGTGATGATAATCATGTATGGAGTGATGATGACGGCGACGTATGGAGTGATGATGACGATGAAGATTGAGGTGGTTGTAAGTACTTCAGCAGCAGAATCGGGCGTCTTTTACAAATACGGCGATGACGTAACGATGGTTATAATAACAATAGTGACAACGAAAACAACAACAACAATACAAATGATAACAACAATAATAAACAATAGTAACAATAATAACTTTAATAACAATAATAATAATAATAACAATAATAATAACCTGAACTACACCTGACTTTTTTGTCAGAATCTCTGGCGCTAGTTATAAGGTAGATGTGTTTGATACACGACTTCCCATTCAGCTTCATCATGTCAAATGCCAGATCAAACGCCCGACTGTTGTGCGATAGATAGATAGATAGATGGATGAGTGGATGGTTGAATGAATGAATGATGAATGGATAGATAGATGAATGGCTAGATAGATGAAGGATAAATGGATAAAAATGTGTCCTAAATATCAGTTTTAAAAGAGAACATCGTCTATTTTTGATTTTGAAAACAAATTTTGAGAAAAGTGACGTAAAATTTGTTTACAGGGCTTTGGGGGCATGGGGCAAAAACTGTTAAGGAACACTCCTCTACTGCCAAAAAAACTTACTGAAGGTCTGTGCCACCTCGGGGCTTAAGTTTGTGAATGAGTCTCAGGAATGTTTTTTTGTTGTGATCATTTGCCGGATACAAACCGCAGCCTTGGTTGCCGTCGTCGGCGTTTTTGCAGCTGAGAGCCGTTGTGGTTTGATCGATGGGATGACCTGTTTTAAGGTGGTGGTAGTAGAAGTAGTAGTGGTTGTGTCGTCATAAACTTTCTTTTTCTCTTCTCTCTCTCTCTCTCTTTCTCTCTCTCTCTCTCTCTCTCTCTCTTACTCTTTTTCTCTCTCTCTCTCTCTTTTACACACACAACACACACACCTTGTATATCCCAAATCATGGATGACGACGATATGACGTTGATGTAGTAATGTGAGGTGAAAGTGTTGATCAAAAGTTCGGCCACATGTTTAGCTTGATTCAGTCTTCAGGTTTCAGTTAAGTACCACATATGTATGTGAGTATATTTTTATTAATTTTTATCGTTGCTTTATATTTATAATATTTGTATCATTAACATCAGTGGTAGACCTAGTATAAAAACAACATTACAACATTTAACATTGTAGCAGCAACAACACACAACATTACAGAAACAACAACAAACAACATTACAGCTACAGCAACAACAACAACAGCATACAACATTACAGCAGCAACAACATACAACATCTCCTCCATCATTCCCATCGTAGTGCTGGAATCGATGATGATGATGATCTCCTTATGCACGGACTTTCCCAGGAACCAGGATTGCAAGCGAAACTCAGCCAGATCATTATCAACATTGCCGGTAACATTTTCATCGACTACAACACTAGCGCCAGCACCACCACTACCACTACCACTACCACCAATACCACTATGACCACTGCCACCACCATCACCAACTGACTCGTCAGAACTGTTTCCGACGTAATTATCATCATTTCTACCTATTTCGTCTATAAATAATGACGTCATAATTATTTTTATAATTTTTTTTATATTTCTCAAAGACATCCACAACAAACACGCATATGCGATAAGCGGTGGTTTCTTTGCAGTCAAATGCGGTCAGTACAACAGTTTTGCCAACCACGTTAACCACTACACCATCGTGCCGCACAAATTTATTACTTTCTGACAGCTAAATCACCTTCATGTTTAGTATCTTTTTCTAAGACATTTTTTTCAGCTTCATCTTTTCTCTCTTCATCATCAGCCGAAAGTTCGGAATAATTGTTGTACTGACGGTACGTTATGACGTCATTATTGATATTTGGGTAAACCATAAGAACGCCACTCACTGTTCCAACGTACACCCTAGATTGTAGAGGCGAGTGGGTGGGCGGATAATAGCGATGTCGTTTGACGATGACGTCATTTGGTGGTGATTTCATTTGGCGGTGATTTCATTCGACGGCGATTTCATTAGACACGCTAATGACGTTAGTTAGTGACGTAATTGTTTTTCGCAGGTTAACTTTTTATGAATGATGTGGTTAATGTCAATTTCTGATTTGTAATGTCGACGAGATCAATTATTTTTTTATACTGAAGTTAACAAATATAAATTAATTTCTCAGATTAAACTCCAAATTGCATATAGAAAAAACAAATAAAATAAAACTCATTATTGGCATGGACGAATGAAATTCCGTCATACTATCCACTAATTTGGCCGTCCATTCGACATCCTTCAAGACGTCAGTATTGTTCTTGTTTGAGTTGCATACGAGCAGTGATGTGGTTCTGTTGCTACTACTGCTACTGTTGTCGCTACTACTACTACTTCTACTGCTGCTGCTGTTTCTTGACACTTTCCTGAACGCATGTCAATGGGCTTTTATTATTATTATAATTATTATTTATTATTATTATTTCATTATTGTTATTATTTTTATTGTTAACTGTTACTATCGCAAATATTACATATGATTACGTAATACTATCCACAACCCGTGGATTTAAGTATTATATGAATGTGAAAATGAAACTATATAAATGAATAAACAAATAAATAAATAGATGAAAATATAGTTATTAATGTTAAAAACCTTCTCACAAAAGGATGACGGAGGGTCTGTGAGAAAATTCAAACGAATGAACAAACGAACGAACAGACGAACGAAAGAACAAACATACAAACAAACGAACGAACAAACGAACAAATTAAAACTAAAATTTTTATTTTATTATATGTTACTACTTTACTCTATTTAAAAAAAACATTATAATTTATTAGCTATTATTATTATTATTATTCATTTTACCAAATTCGTCATCTAAGCATTTACTTCATTTCTGAATTCCTTTCCTAGTGTATTGTTAGCCGAAGCGTAGTTGACAGCTAGAGATTTGAAACTCTCCAAACTGCCCAATAACGGATCGTACATCTGGTCTGTGTTATTGAAAATATCAAATAAATTTATGAAAAATACACCGTTTTATTGGTTAATTCGTGTGTTTTGGGTTTTAATTTTTTCGTAATTTCTTATAATTTTATTATAGTTGCGGGTCTTTTTTTTTAAATTTTTAAATTTTTTCTTTTTTAGCTCCGACTTTTCCAAATTTTTACAAAATCTAAAACCGAAAGCGGTCCTATGTTTTTTTATCAATGGTTTGTGGTATTCATTCAAGAGCTCTAGGTTAGTAATTTAATGATTGATATAAAACAGTTGAACAGAACATTGTTAAGATGTTCGAACTTTTTGAACTTTATTCTTGTGGCCTTACAGTTCATGAAGTTCATGTTTAAATACTCACTACAAAAATGCAAGCAGGATTGCTTATTAGTTCAGACTAAAAAAGTTACAGCAAACAGCGGCAGCACAGTCAGTAGTATGTTGGACTGGCTGGTAAGTTATGTCATAGAATTGAATAGACTTCATATTAAACAATTTATTACTGACTCACATTAATAATAACTGTATAAGTCTACGATGTTGAATAGGACTAAAATTAAAGTAGTCGCATTTCGAACTTTATTGAACTTTTATGAATAATTATTTTTGAATTTATCAATTATGGAACAGATAAAATAGCATTTTCTGTTAATTTCAAATAGCTTAAATTTGCAAGCAATAAATTACAGTGAATAAATTTAAAAGTATTTTAGTTCTTTATCTATTAATTTAATATATAACCTAAATTGTTGTAATCAAATAAAAAACCGAAACACAGACTGATATACTGAGCGGCTTCTGTTACAACTTTTAACGGATCCAAGGATATTTCTTCAAATTCCCACTTTTCAAATTCTTTCTTCAAGTGATTTTCTCCGGAATAGAAGTTAAAAATTTCTAGAAGTATGTTGGAAATATCATCTGCCCAATCTATCACTTCACACAGTATTAAGTTTTTGTCTATTAGTTTGGCAATAAATATAAAATACAATAACTTTGAAAGTCTGCTAGATTTCATTTTATTAATCGCGTTAATTTGAAAATTTGAATTTTGAGGATAAGCGTTTTTGTTTACATAGAAAAGTGCGAATGAACGTTTTTTGAACTTAAAACTTATAATCCTTTAGTTTCTATAACTACAGGGAACATTAAGTTTTATTATTTCTTGGTTGTCTTGCCAAACGTGGGAGGTGAAAATTAAAAAATGAAAGCAAGGATTCGAAATGAATTCTCCAGTACAAGGTAGAGAATTTCGTTGTTCTTCGAAGCGTCTAGAAACACAAATACGAAGGAATCGATATGCCATTTTTTATTCATTAATCCAAGCAGCCAAATTTTGGTAAATTATTTATTTTCTTGCTAAATAATAGTTACAAACTTCCGTTTTATGTTCATTTCATGCGTCAAACGCAAACAAGATCTGAAACAACGCTAGACTTATTACATTGCATGTAGGCTTACTTTGTCTCTTTCTGTTATGAAGCACGATCAAAGCCAACAAATTTTAGTGACATTCCCTTTTTAAAGAATTTTGTTAAAAAAAGGATAGAGAATGTAATTTAGTTTGACTCTATAATAATAATAATCTTACTGAACATTATGTTGAGAGCATAACGGTTCTTAAGAGTGATTGTTAGCGTAAAATGGTTCATAAGGGCTTATTAAAATTAATTTCATTTATAGATTGATGCAGTATTTGAAATTTTTGATGTTTTTTCTGTATTTTGCTGTTTGTAAAACTTTAATGTAGCTGTGCATTGTTACTATTATCGTCCATTTTAATGAAATAAAATAACTATTAAAACAATATAACATTCACTTCCTAGTTACATTATTTGCTTCCTACTAATATTATTTGTTTGTCGTTGGCGTTTAAGTTACACTCACATACACGCACGCATACGTAAGCCATTGGTTGGTCGATAAAACTCACCGACATACATGCAGCACAAAATAAGAGGTAGTTTTTTATAAAGCAATATGTTACATAAAGAAAGATAATAAGTGTGAGAAAGAGACACACATACACAGGTAGGTAGACAATGACAGAGCAAGGCAGAGAATAAAAAACGACAGAGAGAGAAAGAGAGAGAGAGAGAGAGAGAGAGAGAGAGAGAGAGAGAGAGAGAGAGAGATAGAGAATAGGTTGAGATCGAGGTATATTCAGCGTTAGAAAAATATAAAATTTAAAGAAAGCAAGAAAGCAAAATTTGAATATGAATAAACAAGAGGTAACAAAGAATGAATAACACTGCACCCTATAGAGAACGTTATGGAATGTTTCTCTTTCACTTTCGGTGACAATCACACACACATACAATCAAACACACGCTCAATAGCACTCAATACACAATTGCACGTGCAAATAACACAACACACGCACACATTCGGACACACGCACGCACACTCATTTTAATCAAATTTAAGACAACTTGCATAATAATAATAATAATAATAATAATAATAACAACAATAATAATAATAAATATCATTTATAAAGCGTCGATGCAAGCGACTGAGGCGCCCTTGGAACTAAGAAATTAATAATTGACCATGGAAGTATGAATTTAATAGCAATGACGATAATAAAATTAATAATTAATAATAATAACAATTGATGATGGTAACCATGGTAATATGAGTTCAATAGCATTAAAAAAATTGTAATAGTAATATTATAATTAAAAAGTTAATTAGAGAAAACATCAAAGAAAGCACGTCAAAAGTTTAACACCACGTATTTAAACACATGCATATATGCAATGTTACATATTGCAATAGAGAGCGAAGTATGTTAAACCAGCTACATGTCTTTGTTCATTTCCTGACCATATTACTTTTCCTCCGTTTGTTTCTCCGGCTTATGCTCATCTGATCTCTGCTAATTCAAGTAGGTCACATCACAAGCATGGTATTCTAAATGTATTGTATGTCACATACATAGTGATATCTATTCTTACTGAAACTGGAGTTTGCCTGCTGTCCAAAGAGTCCCAACATTCCAAGTACCTACTGAAAGTCGTTCTTTTTGTAGCTTTTTGAGTTTTCTTTTGTTAGCTTACTTGACGATCCAACACCGATCGCTTGAAATGTTCCGCGGGTTTTGTCTAATCGAATGGCGTTCGAGTGCCATTTCTGTTTGTAACTTTTTACGTGTGTGATCACCTTTATTTGAATCGTCGTGCTAATTTTCTTCGTCATTTTTCTATTTTTAGCCAGCCTATTAGCTTACAATAGTAGCTTTGGGGATTTTCAAAGTTTTTTGTTTCGATATCACTTTTACACTGTCAGAAACAAGCAAATACGACAAATACAACAAATAATACAATACACAAATGCAAGAGCGTATTTTAAAGTGTTATGTTGTATAGTATATTATATACGCGTACATACAAATACAAAGCTATGTTTCTTTGATTTGATCGATCGTTTCTGCAAATTTTGTACACATTCGAAGCAAATAATATTTTTTCAAGTTGAAATTATAAATTATAGATCATAAAATAAATTAAATCAGAAATTATTATATATAAGAAAAAATAATCTATTAATTATAATTAATTATGGCAAATTATTATCCTGATGAAGTTTTTTTTCTCCTGGGAGTATTTGTTTTTATAGTTTTTAATTATTGATTAATTTATTAATTAATATTAAAAATTAATTTATATTATTTATCTTTTTAACATCTTTAAGGATCAAGTCTTTTATTATTTTGGTATTATGATATGATATTATAATATGAAATCCAAATTTTTTAAGTTTTAAATATTGCTATAGTAATGTAATTCATCAGATAATAAAAAAACTCTTATTTAAAAAAAGTAAAATCCATGAAAACCTGTATGAAATACAAATGAAACAAAAAATGACTTGTATTATATATTATAATAATTATAATGCACTCACAGAATATTTAGAAACTGAAATATAAATTGTAAATTTTGGTAAAATGAGAAGAAGGATATCAATAAATAATGATCCTAAGATCATGAACAGCACTTCATAACTTAGATTAATTTTTGAAATCACTATAAATTGCATGATGCATAATTTTTTTGCAAATATAAAAGAACTTTTATAATATATAAATGATCTTTTTCAGTGTTATATTTTAAATTTGAATGATTTTAAATTAAAATAAGGCTCCTTTTCATGATGATTGGATCAGAAACACTCACGAATTTCACGAAAATCCACGAAAAAATCTAAGAAATTACAATTATAACGATGTATGCCTATTTTAAAATAATATTTATTCCTTTCTATATGTTCTTTATTAAATTTTAATAATTTGTTAAATTTTTTTGCAGGTAAATTTAAATAATAACAATGATGCTCCAATAAACAGAGATGATGAAATAGATGAGATTGCCAGACAAGTATTCTTTCATTTTATTTTAAGTTAATCAGATTTTCTTGTTGATATTTCATTAACATTAAATTCAAAACAAACATTCACTAATTAAGATTAAGAAAGAAAAAGAATTGAAAGAAGAGAAAAATAAAAAAAAAGTAGAACAACATAGTTAGAACTTTGATGAATTTATAATTGAATAAATAAATTTTTATAAAATAATTAATTTTTTTAATAATAATAAAAGTAATGGTTGAAATTAACAATCAAAGTTTAATTTCAGTTGAACATAAAGAATCAAAAAAAAATGTAAAGAAAAGTTTTAAGAAGAAAACTGATGTGAGCTATGCAGTACCAGAGACACCAGTTGAAGAAAAAATTAACAGTGCTGAAAAAGATTGGAAAAACATGACTGACACGTCAAAGAAAGGAAATGAGAAAAGGGAGTCAACAGGGAAAGCCAAAAACCATCCTCAAACAGCTCTTGCTCAACCTGGTTTGTCAGTTAAATGTGTACATTTATATTTGTATTACATTAATCTACTATTATTGTTTGTTTACATTTTTTAGTTTATAGAACTGCTGTCAAAAAAGAAGAAAAATTAAAAGAAAATTCTCAAAAAAAGGCATCTAACAAAGTCAGAAAGTTTTATGAGATTTTGACAAAATCATATGACATCATGCTGGTTTGTCATCTATGTCTGGTGAAGCTCAAAACTTTATCACAATGTAGCTTCAGATACCGTTTAAACAGTGATCATGAACACGTTTGTGAATGTGATCAGCTTGCATTAAAAAAAATAATTGTTAGAGAAACCAGTGATGACTGGACTATGGTTAGGCAAGTTAGAAGGCGATTTAAAAATTTGTGTGAACAATTTAATAACGGTTTAGAATGCAAGGAGCGCCAAAAATGTCCCAATCCTCATACAGAAATTGAAAGGGAAGCGTGGGAAATATTTCAAACGCACAACTATTCTGTTGATATGTTCATCAACGACCTCAAAAAAACTGACCTGAAACTTGATGTAGAATTAAGAGGTTTCCATGAAAAACACAAGGGTTTGTTTGAATTCATTTGTCGAAAATGTTTCAAAAAAGATGGAAATTTGATTTATAAGAAAAAACACTTGAATCAATGCAGTGCTGTAAATTATCACAAATGGGATAGCAGTGAAAAAATTGTTTTTATGCAGAGAGGTAACGATGCGGGATTTGAAGATGTCCACGATGATGAATGTCCTCATGCGCACTGCATTGTCGTCAGGAAATTGAAAAGGTTAAATTTCACGGTGAATAAAATTGTTGAAAAATCTAAATCTATCAATCAAGCTATGATATGTGGAAAAAGAAAATTAGGTAAGTCAGTCGTAGAAAATCAAGATAACGGCGAAAACAGTGAGGAGATCGACCTGAAAGAAGTTTCAATAGACGAGGCCTACTCTAATTTTGATGATGTTTCAAGTACTATTGGATTTCCTTTTGACAATCTTGGAGATGATTTTGATAGAGAAGCTCAAATGGATTATGAAAATGAAGTTGAACAAAGTGGGAAAAAGAAACATATTTACTATGAAATGTATCCGATTGATAAATTGAATGAACTTTTGAAATATTCTGGTAGCACTTACAAGAGATGTAAAATAAAACTGAATGGCTCTTCTAAAGCCGTTTGCGACTTTTTAGATGTTGATGTTAAAAATCCGAACGAGCACACCAAAGTAGAAATTAGAAGTCGAGTAAACTGTGGTCCGTGTTTGGATGGTGACGAGGTTGTCGTTCAGCTGAAGGACACTAAAGAGTTAGGTGATGACAAAGTTTATGTTAAAAGAGGCACAGTAGTTGGAGTCCTCAAACACGCTTTTGATCGAAAAAAGTACACATTCTTGTGCAAAGCGGACTACCATCTACCGCATCTCATGATTCCCATTGATGGAATCGCTCCTAAAATACACGTCATGAGAGAGAAATTGCCACAAAACAACAAAATTTCTGAAAAATATGCATCAGTTTATACGTACAATGACGAAAACGAGGAACTCTTGTTGGTTAAATCGATACGTTTAAATGCTGAAATAATAGATAAAACATTGTTTGTAGTTAAATATATTCGCTGGAATTTTGATTATATGTATCCTTTGGGGTACATTAGTGATATTATTAAATCGGGTACAAATTTTGAAGAAAGTCAACAAGTTTTGAATGTTTTGTATCAAGTGCCTAAGAGCAATGAAATTGATTGTCTGTGGGATGCCGAACCTCACGAGGACTACGAAGATTTAACTAACCTGTTCACCATCAGCATAGACCCATCTTCATGCAAAGACATGGACGACGCGTTGTCTCTTATCAGTATGCCAGATTCATCTTATCAAGTAATAGTGCATATTGCGGACGTAACCAGCAATGTAATAAAAGATTGTCCTTGTGATAAAGAAGCAAGCAAACGACTTCTAACTTATTATCCGGCTTGTGGCTCAAAGAGGAGCATGCTGCCCTCACGAACTAGCGACAACGTATGTAGCCTCGTTGAAGGAGAAATGCGAAAAGTTTTGTCTGTTTATTTCAAAATTAAATTTTTTCCGAAATTTGAAGCACGCTTTATTTCCATTAGAAAATCTAAAATCATCAATAAAAAAAAGATGTCATACGAGGAAGCCCAGTATATTATCGGCGGAAATTCAAATGCGAATGAAAATCTAACTTCAACAGTTTCATTGCTTTATAAAATATCTGTACAACTTAGAAAACAAAGAATGCAATTGGGCTGGCTATTTTGTCAGAACAATGACAATCCTTTTGAAATTGATAGCTGCTTCGAGGCACATCAACTCATTGAAGAGTTTATGATACTTACCAATAAGGCAGTAGCTGAGTATCTATATTCAAAGTATCCTAATGTCATTCCACTGAGAACACAGGATGGTCCTGACAATGAAGATGAGGCAAAGTTTTTTGATCAGTGGAAACATTTTATTTCCGGTTCATCATATTTTGACCGCTTCCACAGCTCAAATGATAATAAAGATAGTTCCAAAGATTTTATTTATTTCCTTAAAGAAAAAACCAATAATCTCAAAGAGTGTTATAAAAGAGGTGATTTTAAAAAGATGAGAAACATCATTGGCAATGAAATAAATCACCCTTCAATATCAGTGGCTCTCATTTCTTGGTACTGCATTCAAGAAAAAGCTACATACGTCTGTTCTGATGAACGCAATCGAAATGCGATGAAACATTTTTCACTTAACGTGCCTCTTTACACTCACTTTACTTCTCCAATAAGGAGATACATTGACATCGTCAACCATCGTCTTGTTAAAGATTCTCTCAACAACAAAACAAATCCCTCTTACACTAAGGAAGAGATTGAAATAATTTGTCGAAAAATTAATCAAGCCTTCACAAACAATAAAAATTATTCTAAACAATCCATTATATTGAAAATTGCTAATTTCCTCAAGGAACCTTTGTATTTGCCAATTTTTATTAAAAATCTGAATGACGACAGCATTTTTTTCAGTTCTCCTTATTTACCTAAATTATCTCATAAACAGAGTGAACTACCGTACAATTTGTTGGCTTTATCCGACAAGCCAGAAATAAACGACAGTTGTATAAGGCTGAAATGGGACAAACGAATTTATTCAAACGACGAGAATGTTTTTAAAATGTCTCACGCAAGGCACGTGAAGAAAGTTAATGACTTTGTTTCAATTAATGCCGACAAATATGTTACCATGATAGATTCTGACAGCTGGAAAAATTTGATAAGGGCGACTTTGATTAATGATGATAATAGAAGTTTTAAGCAGGAATGGGATAAAATTTCAGAAAAAATATCGAATGCAACTTTTACGATAGGCAACCGTGAAATAACTTCAGAAATGAAAGACAACGAAATAATGACGAGGCACTACGTGTTGTTTTCATTACTGATAAGAAGAGGCTCCGTGCTAGCAGCTCAGTTCGGCTCTAACTCACTCAATGGTTTTCTTCAACCGGCCATTCAGATGGTAAACTTAACTGATGAAAATGATATTTGTGTTGAGCACAAAATCGACCCAGTAAGATTCAACAGTTTTTTTTTAAATTATTCTACTACAATAAAATTTTTATTAAAACAGATTAAGTGTTTCACAAACGCTGCTCATGCAAGCACGAAAGATTATTACCAGAGCATAACACAATACCAAGAAATATGGCAGCCTATATTATTAATGGAAGCAGCTGCATCTGTCGTTACAGAAAATGATACAATAACTTGCCATTATTTGGAGGTTATTTTAAAAAAAGAGAATGATAGATTTTATGGAACTCTCGTTGTTAACAAAAAATTCTGTGATGAAAGAGGAATACATATCTGCAATTCTGTTGACGAAGAAGTTGAAACTAACGACTTTCTCTGCATCAGATTTCCTAAAATGAATCAAGTTGCCTATTAAAACTTTCTCAATATTTCACGCAGTATTTTATTATTTGTTATAAACATTTTTCAGCAGGTTGAAACATCTGACTATCAAGGGTTAACAAGAAATAAATGGGTTTGCCACGCTGTTGCCACCAATCAAACGGTTTCGAAAAAAGATAAAAAAATAATTTTACATTTTACTGTTCATTATTATAATTGTCTTCCTCCTCAAGAGCTCATACAAAATCGCACTAAGTGCACCGTTGAATTTTTAACCATTCCTTGGCCCGAAAAGTAAGATGAATTTTTTTTAAATTTTGGTTATAACTTTATTTGTTAATTTTAATACTAGAAAAATGTTGAACGCCCTTTGTGGACTTGGTGAGGCTTCATATATATGCCAGAAAATATTTTTGGGTGAAAGTTTTGAAAATTATCCAGGTCAGCGTTTGATTTTTTTTTTCATGTCAAATAAAATAATTTCTCATTAAATTCAAACCCAGGTATAGAATATATAGTACACGATACGTACGACATTGAACACGACAGTAGGGACATTCACAGAAATAACTCTAACCAAGCAGAAGCTTTAAAGAAGTGCTTGAGCAGTCCATTCACCGTTGTTCAGGGACCTCCAGGTTCATATTTTTTTAAAAAGTTTTTTCAAGTTATAAAATCTATCAAGAATAATATATATCTTAAATTTGTGTCTGGGCAGGTACCGGTAAAACAGTTACAGCAATAAAGTTGGCATGCTGGTTTGCGAGAAGTAATAAATATTTTAATGTTAGAAATCCTGAGAATGGTCAACTTGGACAGGTCCTTTATTGTGGACCTTCCAACAGCTCTGTCGATGTTGCTACTGGTTAGTCGTGTTGACAGCAAAATTATTTTTCCTGCTCCTTAATTGTAAAATTTTCAATAATTTTTTGTGTACTTTTTAAAAAATATTTTAAAAACCTAAGTAAAAAGTTGTTGTATTTATTTATGGCACAAATAGTATTTGGAATTGTATTCAAATATCCATAAGAAACCAAATCATTATTTTGAAATTTGCCAGATTGGCTTATGAAACTGAATTCAGCCTGTCCAAAAATTATAAGAGTGTACGGTGAAAGTCAGGAAAGAAATATTTTTCCTTTGCCGAGATTTTTAGGAAACGCCTCCATGACCAGAGGTTACGAGTTACAAGACAAAAGGGAGTACAAAGATATTGCCTTGCATTACTTGATTAGAAAACCCGGTAGGAAATACGCCGATGAGATAAGAGAATTTGATGAAAGGTTTCAAAACAACATCCACATTCCAGAGAATGTTGCGGACGAGGAAGTGCGATATCTTTACGAGTTTTATTGAAGTTTTAATTTTCTCATAAAATTATTAAAATCTTTTTTGCACATAAAATATTTTACCGCTACTTTTTTCATTTCACAGATATCAAAATATCAGAAACTTTTAAAGGAAGCATCAGCCGAGGAGCTCAAGAATTATGAAATAATTTTGTGCACATGTCCAGCCAGTACCAACTCGAGATTACTGCATGGATCCCTTGTTACTCAGGTACTGACATGTATTTACTTATTTATATTTCTTTTGTGATAAGTGTTTTGATACGATAGTTATTATTTTGAATGGTTGTTCGAACCAGCGTTAAAAACTTTTGTTGTTACTGAACATTCAGATCTTGACTGCTTTTAAATTTAAATCTGTCAATGGTTGCAATATTATGGATAATTTCTTGAATCAGGTAATTATAGACGAATGTGGGATGTGCAAAGAGCCGGAATGTTTGCTGCCCCTGCTCAACCACCCCCATGCACGGCAGGTTGTCCTCATTGGCGACCACAAACAACTTCAACCCATCGTTAAAAACAGAACCGCCGCCGAGAAAGGATTGCAAACTTCTCTGTTTGAAAGATACGGCGAGCAATCTTTCATGCTGAACAAACAGTACAGAATGGTATTCATATTTTCAATCCATTAAATTTGTTTTCTATTTTGACAATGTAGTTGAAATTTAAAATTTAAATTTATAATATCTGCCGACAGCATGAATCCATTTGCCACTTTCCATCTCGACATTTCTACCAAAATAAACTGATAACCGCAATTTCCAAACCGGTGCAAATTCCTCAGTTTTGGCCAAACACCAGCAGGCCGGTGGTTTTCTGCCATGTCGAAGGAGCTGAGAGATCGTTGTCTGTCTCGACGGAGGAGGGCAACGAATCATCAAAAAGCAACGATCTGGAAATGAAGGAAGCGGTAATCACTCAAATGATCATTCTCTGCTTACAAAACCGCCATTACGTTCATCTTTTATCATATTATTTTAGGTGAGAATATTCAGAGAGTTGAGATCAATGCGAAAGATCTCACAAATTTGCATTTTATCCCAGTATAAAGCCCAATGCCATCTCATCGAATCTGAATTGCGTAAAACAACTGATGACGAAAATTACAAAGTGTGTACTGTTGTATCCAGCCAAGGTCAGATCAATTTTGCGTTCTTGCTATTTTGAGGTTTTGAATTTACTGAGATTTTGAATTTACTATATTTTTCACACACAAAATTAGTTAAAATTAGTTATATTCGTCCAAATAATGTACTGATTGTGAAGTAATTTGCGTTAGCTATAGCAAAACATCTCCAGTTTACTTATTATATTATTGTTTGCTTGAAATTGTTATTACACTGCACAAATTTTAACGAGCTGACGACTGGGAATGTAAATTGGCAGGCAACGAATGGGACTTCGTGATATTGAGTTTGGTGAGGTCCATGCCGGAGTATGAGATCGAGAAAAATCCTTCCATCGGTTGGTGCAAAAGGAACCTTGGCTTCATATCTGACGAACATCAGATTAACGTGGCATTGACCAGAGCCAAGCACGGATTGATCATCATAGGTACAACTTTTAACACCAAATAAATATTTCTTCACTAATTAATACCAGTCACTTACATTTTTAAAAATGAGTTTTGTTCGCGTTAAGGTAACAAGAACCTCCTGCAATGCGATAAAATGTGGAAGAGTCTCTTGAAAGAGTACCAACAAAATAATTGCATCGTTGATGCTTTAACGTTTGTACCATCTTTTAACAGAATGAAGCAAAATAATCCCCAAAAGAGATTTGGAGCTACGAAGAATCGTAAAAATGTGTAATCGTTCTCTTTTTCTCTCCTTCTTTAATTTTCTTCTTCTACGTTTTCCCTCTATCTATTCCTCTCTTCAACACACTAACGCGCGCGCACACACATACGCACAGATTCACATTTGTTAAACATACGTAATCACCATTTTTCAACAGGTTCACACACATATATATTTAAAACCATGAACGGAAACCAGAAAATATGTTTTTAACTAGCAATGATATTTTTTTACTTTTATAATGTTTTCTAAAAAGTGCCTTCACCAAAGATGTCAACACGTGAACACACATTATGTGTAATTATACACATAATGTGTGTGCTTGTGTTTTGTTCATCCAGTGAATTAGCAAGAGGGCTGCAAAAATTGCAGTAAAGAGAGTAAACACTTTTACCTTTAAAAAATCCATTATCATTTTATTTCAAAAGTTTTCTTACAACAACATTTTAAGCGTTGCAATTATTTGACACAAATAAAAGAACATTTAATGTCAACCCAGCAGCGAGCTAAACTAGTTTTTTCCAGATTTTTACATCTAACTGTTCTTATGTAGTTATGTAAATAAAGATTGCAAACATTTTTTGCGGGTTGAAGGGCAAGAGGGGTGAAGCGCCAAGGCCTCGTCGTCCCAAACTATGCCCTGGTCACCCTTGGTACGACGCCACTGTTTATATATATGTGCGAGTTTGTTTTAGACCTGGAGACGTCTCTAAACTGTCTGAAAAGGATGTCTCAATAAATGTCTTTATTTCTTAGTTTCGTAGCAAACTATCTCTAAACAACTATTTTTGATCATCCATTCAGTTATTTATTTTGAAATCTTTTTTTTCTGTATTTTTTTCTATTCATCTGTTTATATTTTTTATAAAATTACTGACAGATATTTTTAAAAACATCGGTTGATTCGTTTATTACAAAAATTATGAAAATAAATGTGGAAATCTTGAGTAGTCAGTCGCTTATTACGTGGTGTTTTAACTTCGTAAATTAATTATTGAAATATAGCCCTACTAAAACAGTTTAATTTGACAAGTTAACAAAAATTCACGATACGATTTTAATATGTGCTGAAAAAAAACTAAAACATTATAAAAAAAATTGGTTTGAGATGAGGTGTACGAGTTGAATAATTCATTGATTTGTGACGTTTTTAACGACACCTACCATCTTGTCAACTTTTCTTCAGATGGTGACTGAATGTTTTCATTAAGGAAATTTTATCAACCCTATGTAGGGATTTGCTGCTGATAGAAATCAAAGATCTAGATTTTCTGTTTGCAGATGGATTCAAAGAGTCGGTGTTAGGTGTCTGAGTGCTTTCGGTGCCGTTGTGAGTTTCGTGATTTTTCTTCAAAAGTTTCAGCAAGAAAGTTTTCCTATCGACGCTGAATCCTCTCTTACTCTTGAAACCTTTCGATTCTCCGGTCAACCGAGATAGAGCTCTCAGAGCGTTCCCTGATTTCTAGGGACAGCAAAAATTTAATAAACAACCTAAACATATCACAGGCCAATTTTGAAATAGCATCGTCATTATAATTATCTCCACCATCATGCCCAACCATCATCCTTATCATCACCACCACCATTAGTTCCCTGTCTTGTAGCAGCATGCTTCTAATGATGAATAATTATTTTTGCCGATAATGATAAAAAAAAATTGATTTGCCGAAAATGATAAAAGTTAGTTTAAAGGAAGCGCGCGCATGTGCGAGTAGTTAGCATCCCACATGCAATGTACGCTATGTTAGTATAAAATTTATATTTTCTGTTGGCTATCCAACCTGCCATTTTCTTCTCGTGAGAAATTTTCGATGTTGTGTCGTATCCAGTGTTTTCTCCAACGTCACATCTTCGTATTGAACCAACCAATCATGTGACAGACACTCTGATGACGTCATTCTCTCTCTTAAGTAAATGTTGAAAAACCGTTGAGCATTTAAACAAAAACAAAAATTTAAAAAGAAACAAAATCATTTGACAATAACTGACTTTGGGTTTCTTGCGAGTAAACATGAAATGAATTCTTGAGCCTTTGTGGATACATCTTCGAATCCCTCGTCAAAATCGTACTGCACTTTCGTCACGTTCACAAATGTCTCCGCGTCTGAATTGCCGGCGAATGGCGAGAATCCTGAAAGGAGGATGTAGCAGACAACTCCAACGCTCCACATATCCGTCAGCGGTGTCACGGGATCGTAGTTTATCACTTCAGGGGCTGCAAACTCGGCGGTGCCAAACATTACCTTGGTGGGGATGTTCATTGTGAAGGTATCTTTAACGATTTCAAAGATTTTTAAATTATAAATTTCCGTGCACTAACATTTACAAACTAACTCAACATCTACAAATGCATCGAAAAACATGATAATAGTAATAATAAAAGAAAGTAATGCAAGAATGGTTTTAAACAATGAATATTAAAATTTACTTCATTGATGGAACACAGAATAAATTTAAAACCTTGACTGGTTTCTTCTCATCGTACATGCGGGATAGTCCAAAGTCGATGATTTTAATATCATTGCAATCCGGGCGTACGCAGAGAATATTTTCCGGTTTGATATCCAGATGGAGAACGTTTAGGTCGTGCATGTACTTGATCCCGGAGCATATCTGTCGAAGGAAGTAGATGCAGTCCCGTTCCGTTAGCAAATAATCCTCATTGATTATGCGCTCCATCAGTTCTCGCCCTTCAATGCTGGGAGATGATGATGACGTAATTTGTGTTTATATGTTTATTATTATTATCATTATTTGTTCATTATTATTTAAATAAATTTTTTATGAGGATTTATTTGGTAAATTTTTCAGATTATTCAAAAATATTCATGCACAAGTATAATAACCAGCCAAACGCGACAAATTTCCAAATATTGAAGCAAAAAAATGTTTTGACGTATATGCATACCGGTATATAAATAAAAATTTAATTAATTTTGGCTTTGCTACAGAAGCAAACAGTATAATAACTTCACGAGACCAATTTCAAACGTTGTACAGTTATACACCAACTTTAGCTTATATTTGTCAGTCAGATTTTGAGATATGAAAAAATGCGGTAAAATCATTATGAGAATGCACACATGAGAATATATCCTTGCGTACGATACATACACACAGAGAAAGAGAGAGAAAGAGAGTATAAGAGAGTAAAATAACGCCTCTAATGTTTCTTTTTCAAAGCATTATTATATAATAAAAAAAAGATAATAACTCATTATAATAAGTAATAAAATAAGAGCCGAACTGAATTTAACTATATGAATAAATTTTATATATAATAATAAATAATTAATAAACATAACTATCACATTGAATGCAGATGTTTATTCAGTTATTTTCGTTCAAAAATAATAGCAATTATTTCCCTATTTGCACGGTGATTCTTCGCTTGTTTCCAAATACGACTTCGAAAGATTTTTAATGAAGTTTGCTTTTTAATGAGTGAAATTAATTCCAGAAGTTTAGGACAGAGCAAACTAGATGTCTTAATGATGTCCAATGTTAAATAAAGTCTAATTAATTAAATGAATAATTTTTTAATACGAAGAGAATGTTGAAATAATCCCAAACTAACAATTCCATAATGAGAACAGCCTCTCTCGAGGTTTCGAAGGCATCATAAAGTTGAAGAAGTTTGACGTGGTGTAACTTGTTCATGATGTTGACCTCTTCTCGAAACTCCTCCTTCTGACCTTGTTTCAGTTTAATGACCTTGGCAGCCAGCTTGCGATTGGTCTTTATTTCAAAGCATTCTTGAACTACCCCAAATTTTCCGCTGTGAATTGAAATAAGTTCAATAATTTTCCTTTATTCAATTAAGTATCAGCGAAGCACAATATTTATTCAATAATACTTTTCAAACAAGCATGCATGCATATACACAGCAGAGTTAAAACTTATTTTAAATTTATATTACTCGTTTATAATAGTGGTAAAAAAAGTGTCCGCGAACTGACCGGCCGATAAGTTCTCCACTGATGTACAACTCTGAAAACTTTTTATCTCTCCTGATGCTTACAATTCTCGGTTCGAACGCGAATTTCCCGCCATCATCAAATTGAGTTACGCCATTTTGTTCCACGCCATTTTCGCCACCGTTCTCTTTCGTACGTGCTTCACAAGCGATGCCAGGCCTGCTGCAGCCGTGTTTGTTGACGCAACTGATGCGGAAGTTGTACGAGGTGTGGGCTCGGAGGTTTTTGACGTGGAATGTTGTGTGCTGGATAAGTGGGTGGATGGCTGATGTTGTTTATTCAATCAGGAAGAAATGCTTGAATAAATTCATTTAAAACTAAAATGAATTTGCTGGTAGCATAAGAATAATACTTGACAGAGATCTGATATGACGATCCAATCATGTTGCTTTCCAGAGAGTTTCTGTTCGACTTTGTAGCCGATGACAGGGCTTGCTCCGTCAAAAACAGGGCCGTACCAGGACAGCACGATGGAGTCTGTGGTCTCGTTCGTCGTCGCGGGCCGGCCAAACGGGGGATCTGGGCAATCTGGGAAAGGATAAAAACTGTTGAATAAAAAGAAGTGGCTATGATCTATAAACAGGAAATTTCCGTATATTTGATTCTAATTTTGATGATGATAGCAGTGATGAGATGATAAGAACGACGATATGATAACAAAAATGATATGATATCAACAACGACAATGACAACCTTCAACCGTGACGGACGAAGACATCTGGCTAGTGACACAACGACACCTGACGACAACACTATAACATTCAGAATCGTTGGTAACTGCTTCTCTGACTCTCAACACTGAGGTCCCTTCTGTCGTTTCAATACTCAACCTACCAGCTGAACAGCATTACAACTTTTTTAAATTTATTTTTTTGAATGAGTTTTATTAAAAGTTTAACAAAATTTTATTTTGTTTTTTAAATAATTGTTATTTAAAGTAGGTTAAGATTATTTTATTGAATATTCTTCATTGACGAACTGTAAATAAAAGTCATATCTATGCAAATGCAAGTCTAAACAAACTTTGATAAAATAATCCAGATGCTTAATGTTAATTTATTAACTAGTGAAGTTTTTGAAGGCAAAATCAAATTTTTTAGCAATTTAAACAGTTTTAAAAATAGCACATTTTATGTTGCCAATGATAACAAGCTATCGTGCTATTGCTTCTTTTACTACAACTATTACTGCTGCTGCAACTACTGGCACTACCACTACTACTGCTGCTGCTGCTACTACTACCTCTCTTCTACTACATGAAAATATAGAAAAGAAATTTCGCGATGGCGGAATTTGCTAACTTGAATAAAATTTTTTAAAACCGAAATAAAAACTGAAATTTATTTGAAAAAAGAATAATGAAAACAATTAAAAATATATATAAAAAAACAAATAATTGATACCAGTTTTAACTTCATTCGGTCCTTTAAACCAGGAAATAAAAAATTCCTGGCATTTGTAGCAACGTTGAAATGTCGCAGTCAACATGATTTCAGCCTGATTTAAGATATGAAGATTTTCCGGGTGAAGACTTTTGATGAGTGACGCCTGGTCTTCCAGGTCAACACTTTGTAGCTTACCATCACATTGTTGTTCTAGGTTAGTTAGCTGATTGAGGATAATATTTCTATGTGAATCATTGATGACGATATTTTTAACGTTATTTTCATCAGAGTTGAGAGTTGAAGAGTCAAGTTGTTGCGGTTGTTGTGATGGATTTTGTTGTCGTTGTTGATGATGATCAGCGTTTCTGCATGGTTCAGGCAAATCAGTTAAAGTTATGTTTTCAAAAGTTTCCGGTGAGATTTCATTTTTTTCAATACGTTCGCAATTTTCGTCGTCTAGTTTGTCGGCGTGGATGACTTCATCAACTTTCTCCGCCACATCAATGTGAGGTTTGCAGTGTTCTCCAGCTTTTTTCCAACAGCTGACAATATTTTTAGATGTTTCATCGAGAGAGATTGAATCACTAACCTCCATTATTATCTTTTTTTCATTTTTAACAAGATCTTTATCATTAAGAGGACTGATGTTAGCATCATTTTCAGTGGTCGACACGTGATTTAGGAGTTTGTAGTCGTCATTACAATTTTGTCTGTTGATGTTATTGCTGCTGTCCTCGCTGATGTGTTTGTCGCTAATGTCATTGATGCTATGGCTCGTATTGATGTCGGTGTCAATATGGCTGTTGTGGTGATCGCATTTATCTGGAAATGATGAAAGCTTGCAGTTGCTATTGTCACTAATGCTTCTTTCTGCGTACTTACCGGTATCGTTATTTCCATTAACATTGCATTCATTGTTACTGTTGTTAGCGAAGTTCACGTCATCATTAATGTCGCTGACATCGTTACTATAGGCACCATTGTTAATGTCATTTTTGTTGCTGATGTCATTTTTGATGTTTTCCGCAATCTTAAAGTGGTCAACGTTAATGCTGTCGCTGATGGAAAAGGATGTATGAAGAGGATGAAGTTGTTGTTGGCTGGGGTGGGTACGATTTAAATATAACGTAAAACTTGTGACTTTGTTTTGAGACGCGGTGGGAGATGGTGACGATAACGACGCGAAGGCTGATTCAGTTTTATTTAGTGTCTTCGGAGGTAACGATGATGACGTTGACGATGACGCAGATGTCTGTGACGATAATGAAGATGATGATGATGATGAGGAGGAGGAGGAGTGGGTGCTTGGTGGTGGAGAAGAAACCGATAGTGGTGATGTAATAGTGTGTTTGTACGTTGTGTAGAAATTCTTATCTTGAATATTTTTGATATCGTTGTTGCTATTTTCGCTCTTGCTGCAGATATTGTCGTTAATGACGTCATGGACGTTGTTCACGTGATTAATGTTGTTTGAAGTGATGTCTTTCCTATATCCGTTATCGCGATTTTCCGGAGTACTACCATTAATAACGTCATCTTGTTTTGAATCAGCTTCCACTTTCAAGTCTTCACCTCCTACGCACTTCCGTTTTCCTTTCCCACTGTCACGTTGCGTGTACGAAGGTGGCGTCTGCTTGAGTATTACCAATCCCGCCATGGTTCTCCTCTCTCCAAATTCGTTTCTGACGCAACAGACGTACCTGCCCGCGTCCTCCATGCTGGAGTGCTGGCAGATTAGCTTGTGCACGCTGCCTACCTTCGTTATCTGTGGTAGTGGGGTGGTGAATATGTTAATGAGGTGAAGGTCGTTTACACATAATTTAAACATTTTAAACATATTTTCATTATTTATTTAAAAGTCTATCTGATTCTATCTTATTTTATTGAAATTTAGTTAAAAATTTCCGATTATAATAAAATAAAATTGGTGTCTAATTAACAGTAGTTATTACATTCATGAAGCAAAACATTTCCCCAGCGAAAAAATTATATTGTCAAATAAGTTCTCAGACATTGATTCGCACCATTCACAAATGTCATAAATGATATGAGGTTTTTCTAATTTTCATCCACCATTCACTTAGCAAAAATACCATACCAGGTACCGACCTTAAATCTTTCTGCAGACACGGCTAGTCCATTTTTGGTCCAGGTCACATCTAGGTCAGGCTGGTCTTGAATTTCGCAGGCCAGTTCAAAGCCGCTACCTTCATTGACGTTCAGTGATTTCAACTTTTTTACTATTTGCGGTTCCATAATTTTAAAGAAAGCGATTCCAATCGGTTTTGAAATTTTAGTTAGTTTTTACGAAATGGTCTTACATGATTAATATTATAGAGATACACCGTATTACATTTTCGTTCTACTCAGTCAGTATAATTATAATAGTAATTAACAGTCCTAGCAAACTTTTTATAAATTAATTTATTTAATAACAAATAGTTATTTATATACAATTAGAAACCTCAACCGAAAAAATAGTAATGTATGCTTATATACACAATTTAAGTAACGAATTTATATTATCAAAGCATTGCCAGCATAATAACTAACAAGCTAAGAACTATCTAGGTTTGGTTGTGACGACCAGCGTTTACAAATGTTTCTATAAATAAATTCATGATAAACACTAATATAATTATGTAAATATCTTAATCATATATATATATATGTATACATATAAGCATATACAAATATATATTTATTTAATACTTGTATTCACTCACATGTAAACATCTAACACATAAATATCCACTGCATATCCCATGTATTGCTACTGTTAATAAGCGAATTTAGCTTTACTTACAAACGAACATTCATTTATATGCTATGTCATTCATTCGTTATAAACATATTATGTGTTTGTATATATGCATGAATATATATATATGTATACAAACACATAAGTATATATATATATAATATATATATATGAGTTGGAAAAAGACCATATTTTATAGTATGAAGAATATTTTATAGTGTGTTGAATATTTACCATCGGATGTCTTTGTTTTTTGCAATAACAACCATTATAATTTACGATTAGTCGAGCCAATAGATTCCTAGGACCTAGAACACAGACATCCGATAATAATATTAAACAAACATTTTTAGAAACAGAGGAATCATCGATAATGATGACGTGTCATATTGTCCAAAGCATACAGCATACTCGAGTATTCGGCCACATGCAGAACGTACTAATTCGAAAACGGAAGATGGTATAGGAATACAGAGAAAAGCTTTTTGTTCTATCATGCTTAAATGTTCTATCATGTTTAATATAAATAAAAATTTTGGTTTTGAATTCAAGAAACTTGGCAATGATTTACGAGCTACCGTTAAAAAATCTAAAAATTAAATAGGAAGTTAACTAACGTGAGCAATGCTCTTATTTTCATATAAATACATATAAAACACTTAACACATCTCAACCTCCATATCTTCACAAATTCATTCGACTTCGCTCATCTGTTGATATATATATATGCTGGTAAAAGACCATAATAAATGCAGTAATTTATGAAATCTACCGAATTTCTAGCATTAAAAATGTAATAAAAAACTATCCAACGCTTGAAATTCTGTTAGATTTCATAAATTACTCATACATATATCTATATATTATATATATATATATATATCAGTATATATATATATATATATATATATATATATATATATATATATATATATATGTGTGTGTGTGTGTGTGTGTGTTTGATGTTTCATACAGTTTTTGTTTGTATTGTATGTATGTTTGAATATGTATCTGTATGTATATTAATCACCCTGGTGCCAAATTTTGGATGCGCCGTTGGATACCTACAATTCATTTGCAAGTATGTAGGAATATACCGAAATACACATACATACGATAGAATACATGTGTAATTTATACCCCAACTATACACGAACAATACACACACATGTGTGTCGTGTGTAAATGATAGAAATACTAATTATATACAGTTGTATATATGATATTATGTGAATAGCCAATGTTGACACACAGTAAGCCTACCATGTATGTTCGTTGGTTGGTTCAATTCATCATGTGTGTTTTGTATATATACTATACATAGGTACATGTTTCTAATGTGTTAGCGTTTCTTCATTGATCACACGTTATAGTGTTGATATATTAGCTGTGTAGTGTTTACAATGACTGTCTATTTTGTCAACACGATGTTTGCTTGCTCTGATACATTTTAATCAATTGGCAAAATAAAAAATGTTTAAAAATTCCCACGCTCAAAAAATTACAGTTTAAATACATAAATTTTATGTCATTTTTATGTGTAATAAATTTTTTGCAAATAAATTTTTTTTCTAAATTTTGTTCTTCAGTTTGATTACCAATTTTAAATGCATTCGTCTTTTTATGCGACCTAATACAAATACTGCTCACAAAGGCCCTCCAGTATCATGATGTAATCTTTATTTCGTATGCCCTGGTTCTATGTACAAATTACTTTTAAAATCTTGTAAAGATTCATATATGTTTGGTTATTAAGTGTATATTTTTGAAACTATGTTTTGATATTAAGTCATCTATGCTTCTAACTGTTAAAATGAGTTTCCATGAGATTAGCAAAGTTTAATTTGAAAATAAGTTTTTGAAAAAAAACGATGTGTCAACAAATTATACATGATCACAGTCACCATTGTAAGCTATCATTATTATAATTAATATCAGATTCATCATCGTAATCATCAGCTCATCTCATCATCGATGTTTGAATAGTTTTAACACAACTACTATTTTTGCATAATGTTTAAAAAACATTTTTAGAATTCATAAATGAGATATGATACACATATAATGATATAAACATGATATACGTATATATACATATAAATATAAAGTATGGATTAAAAAAAACATCGACACACTTTCATAAATTTTGAGTTATGATGTTAAGAAATGATTTAGCTGATTATTTAAACAATATTTTTCAAACAATTTTATGTGTAGAAGCCTTTTAATGGTAATAACAAAAAAATGAATAAACGATTAAGTGGCAATGAAGTCGGGCAAAAACAATATTAATAATAATGACGAGAGTATAAGAATGATAACAACAATGATTACAACGATGACGGCCATGGCGAAAAATGATGAGGCTAATGATGAAGACGAGTAAGACGTGGAGGTTGCTTGCAGTGTTTGATGATAAAAGACTTCATAATTGATTTAATTAGCGGTTAATTATCTTTGCCATTGTCTTCAATATGTAACACGCACTTTCGCTGCAGTTGAATTAGCGAGATTAGTTTCTCACATTTAATCAATAGATTTTATCCATTTCCATCAAATTTTTTATTTGAAACTTAAAATTTTTTTAATTTTATTTTAAAATTTTTATAAATTTGTTCATAATTTGATTTAAAATTTTTACATTTCAAAAAATTAAGCTTTAACATTCGACAACCGTTAAAAATATTTTATTCCCCGCAGCAAATTTATAATTTCATACTCACCACACCAATCACCCACCTCAAGTTATAAAAATTTATAAATAATTATGCATCTTGAATCCTAACGGTTTATGTTTAATAAAGTTTACAGAACAAATATACAAATGCTATTGCACTTGAGATGTTTATGCAAATGTACAAATGCTATTTAGTACCTAAGTACTTATAAATGTTAGGGTTCTCTTAACTCTTAAAAAGTTTCAACTTTTTAAACGAAATAAATTCAACAATGAAGGTCAACAAATTTTTTATACTAAATATTTTTTTTTGGTAAACAGCTTTTAGTGAAAAGCCCCCTCGCCCCGTCAAGGCAGCTGTTTTCGAGGGGGTGGTGTGGTGGGCAATGGCGGTACCCCAACGCCATTGCCCTCCACACCGGTTAAAAACTTTCAAACTTCAGAGCACAGAACATCGTATTATTGACTATAGCTGTATACACCTTCAACCTTTAAAAGAAGACTCTTCAAGAATCTTCTGCCGATGTAACAACGTAATAATAGGTGTATGTTGTGTTCCTAATAAACGCAACTGTAATCTTGTAACTAATTTATTAACTTTAAAACATTAACTTTGAAAAAATAAAAAAAACAAAACTTTAAAGAAATTTTACCCTAAACTTTAAAAAATAAATATTTACCCAAATTCATTTCATCGTTAACGGTTAACCTATTCCCCAAAACTTTAATCATTTTTAGCGACTAAATCCACAGGTTAAGTTTTGATGAAGTTCTGTAAAATCTTTGATTCCTAATTAAGCTTCCACAAATTCTTATCTCCTAACTTATGCACACATAAACAATAAATTAAAACGCTGATACAAAGCTACGCATTATTCCCTGGCACGCTAACCAGCAAGTAATGAAGGAGCTACCAATATACTGCCTGCGTCTTGTACCGTCCATCCGAGTTGACTGTTGGTTTCTATGAAATAGAAACAGAAAATTTCGAATGAAACGATTCACCGACGTCAAACAGTTGTTAACACCTTAAGTCTGCCGCAATCAACGTACAAAAATACGTAACTAAACTGCTAACAACCTAACTAAGTCTTAATTAAATGAATAAAAAAATCTTAAGTTGAATTCTCAATCTTTGAGTTTTCAAATAAGATTTTGAGGAATGAAGAAATGCATGCAGATATATATATACAAAACAAATTTGTTTACGGCGACGCAATAGTGACGTAATCTTATTTAAAAAACGTAATTTGAATGTAAATAAACAACGGGTGCATCCATTGAGAAAAACATATTATTATGTAAATATCTGCGAATTATTTATATTACTTTTACTGTGGAAATTAACTTAATAATAACATTGAAATAATACTACTGATACTGTTGTTTGTTGTGTTGTCCACCGAAACGGCGAGGTTGTTGCGTCGCTATTAAGTTTGATTCGGCCTTCTGTGAGATCGTAGATGGGGCATTGAGGATCAGTTAGTTTCAATTCTTTTGATGTTGCTGCATGACGACGCCTGCAAGAGGCATTTGTCCATTCCAACATAAAACATTTAAGACCAGCTTTACAAATCTTCTTCCATGTAGACCGATCTTTCGCTATTTTTTCAAGTCCAGCTGAGGTGATGTTACATTTCTGAAGTACGCTTTTCACTTGATATACGAATCACATCTTTGGCCAATTGACTGAACGACAGCCATTTAATAGTTTGCTGTATAACAATCTACGAGGCAGACGAGACTCCGCCATACGAAAAACACACGACTTATCTATTGAAAAAAATTGAATCAAAAACATCGATCTATTTTCATATCACAACTAAAATGGGATCGAAGGTTGAATTGTTGCCAAGAAAACTTTCGGCTCGCTACGTGAAGTAAATTGAGATTTTTAATAATTTTGAAGCAAATATTAACTACAAATATTAATTTAATAAATTAGTTTTACTAATTTTTACAACTTTTAATGACTATGAATGGCTTTGGCTGGATTGAATTTTGGATTGTGCATTGCAATTAATTTGAATTGAATTGAATTGAAAAATAATTTATTTGGCCGAAAGCACAGGAGATCAAGATACATATTTGTATGTGCAGACCACCTTAACTAAAATATGTGCGATGAAAACATAAATCAAACAAAATATAAGGACTGATAAATAATAAAAAAGCAAACAAATTCCAAAATAAAACAGAAAATATTAATAGGCAACCAGACAGGGGAAATGGTTTCAATGGTTATTAAAATGACCTGACAAAATGAGTCTATAAATTGATGCTTCGAATATGCTATAGGAAGGTGAGTTTTTCACATTTTCAGGTAACGTATCCCAAAGACGCATTGAAAATGATAAAGCTGAATAAAGAAAAAAGTTCGACCTAGGCGTGGAAAGGTAAAAATCTGGATTTTTACAGAAACGATCACATCTAGTATTTTTAAATGAAACAAGTACATTGAAAAGCAATTTACAATAGTTCAACCTATAAATTTTAAAAAATAAAAGTAATAAATAACATATATATAATTGCTTTATATTATAAATATTCGCTAGACTGTAAAAAGAAGTAATATGGTCAAATTTACGTACATTAAATAAAATACGTAGAAAAAAATTCTGAGATAATGTTAAAATATGAAGATTTGATTTAGGAGCTGAACCCCAAACAGAAATACAATAAATAATATATGGTAATACGAGAGAGTTGTTTAATGTGAATTAGATAAACCTAGGAAATTTAGTACTCAAACGATTAATTGGCCCAAATTTTTAGTTAACTTGCTTGAAATGTGTTTGATATGAGTCAACCATGACAAATTAGATGAAATAAAGACACCTAAAAATTTAACTGAAGGGACTCTTTTGACAGCACCGTTATTTAAAGTTATAACAGGAAAAACAATGTCAGTCCTAATCTTAGCACCAAATAAAATAAAACACGTTTTGTCTAAATTATTGCGCAAATTATTAGAAACAACCCACTCATACACGAATTTCAATTTATCGTTAATAACATTAACTAAAATATTGATATCATGATGAGAGTAAAGGATGGTAGTATCATTGGCAAACAAAACAAACTTTAAAATATTTGATGAATTAATAAAATCATTGATATATAAATTGAAAAGCAAAGGACCTAGAATAGAACCTTGAGGAACGCCAGATTTAATAGGAGACAATTGAGATTTAGAATTATTAATAGAGACATATTGAAAGCGGTTAGATAAGTAAGAAGAAAACCAATTATAAGCCAAACCACGAATACCATAAGAATATAATTTGTACATTAGAATATTATGATCCAAGGAATCAAATGCCTTACAGAGATCAATGAAAACACCTATAGAGTATTTCTTGGATTCTAAAGCTAGGGATATATAATTAATAACATCGACAACTGCAAATTCAGTTGATAATTTGTCGCGAAAGCCATATTGATTTAAAGAAATTACATTACGAGAATTGAGGAATTTATTAAAGCGATTAAG